TTGTCCTATAAGTTCTTTAATGTGTCCACTCATTTTTCATCTTTTTTCTTTTGCTGCTCTAATTGAGTTCCACTAATCTGTCTTCAAGTGCAGTGATCCTTTCTTCTTCATCTATTCTGATGTTGAAGTCCTCTATTGTATTTTTCAGTTCAGTTATTGTATTCTTCAGTACATTTTCAGTAAAACTATTGATACTTTTTTATATTTTTTATTTTTTAATTAAAATTTTTACTTTGTTTATCCATGCTTCTGAACTCAGGGAACAATTTTATGACCATTATTTGTTTATTTTTTTCAGGAGTGAATACCAAATATTTATTTCTTTCGTGTGTGTGTGTGTTTTGTTTAGAGGTTTTTTTTTTTATAGTGTATTATTTGTTTCAGGGGTACAGGTCTGTGATTCATCAGTCTTACACAATACACCATGCTCACCACAACACATACCCTCCCCAAAGTCCATCAGCCAGCCACCCCATCCCCCTATGCCCCTTCCCTCCAGCAACCCTCAGTTTGTTTCCTGAGGTTAAGTGTCTTATGGTTTGTCTCGTTTCATTTATTTCCCTCTCTTCCCCTATGATCCTCTGTCTTGTTTCTTAAATTCCACATATCAGTGAGATCATATGATACTGTCTTTCTCTGATTGACTTATTTCGCCTAGCATAATACCCTGTAGTTCCATCCACGTCGTTACAAATGGCAAGATTTCATTTTTTGTTGGCTGTGTACTATCCCATTGTGTATATATACACCACATTTTCTTTATTCATTCATCTGTCAATGGACATCTGGGCTCTTTCCATAGTTTGACTATTGTGGACATTGCTGCTATGAACATTGGGGTGCAGGTGCCCCTTCGGATCACTACATTTGTATCTTTACTGGGGTAAATACCCAGTAGTGCAATTGCTGGGTCATAGGGAGCTCTATTTTGCAGAACCTCCATGCTGTTTTCCAGAGTGGCTGTATCAGCTTGCATTCCCACCAACAGTGTAGGAGGGTTCCCTTTTTCTCTGCATCCTCGCCAGCATCTGTTGTTTGCTGACTTGTTAATTTTAGCCATTCTGACTGGTGTGAGGTGGTATCTCATTGTGGTTTTGATTTGTATTTCCCTGATGCTGAGTGATGTTGAGCACATTTTCATGTGTCTGTTGGCCATTTGGATGTATGACCATTATTTTGAACTCCTTTGTTAGGTAAATCACTTACCTCTCTTTTGTTAAGGTGTTTTTCTGAACTTTTAGCTAATTCTTTTCGTTTGGAACATATTCCTCTGTTTTGTTTTGTTCTGTGCATTAGATAAGACAGCAACTCTTGGAGCCGTGAAAAAAAATGAAATCTTGCCATTTGCAATGATGTGGATGGAACTGGAGGGTATTATGCTAAGCGAAATAAGTCAATCAGAGAAAGACAATTATATGGTTTCACTCATTTGTGGAATTTAAGAAACAAAGCAGAGGATCATAGGGGAAGGAGGGAAAAATAAGACAAAATCAGAGAGGGAGACAAACCATAAGAGACTCTTAATTTAGGAAACAAACTGAGGGTTGCTGGAGGGGAGGGGGGTTGGAGGGCTGGGATAAGTGGGTGATGGACATTGGGGAGGTTATGTGTTTTAATGAGCACTGGGTATTAGATAAGACTGATGAATCACAGACCTGTACTCCTGAAACAAATAATACATTATATGTTAATTAATTGATTTGCATTAAAATAATTAAGAAAAAAACCCCCAGCAACTCTCTGAGTTTTGAGAGTGGCCTTATGTAGGAGAGGAACCTTATCTTTCAACCTTGCCTTAACATTTAGCTGTCTCTCAAACCTTTGTGGTTATCCAAGCAGCGTACTATATTTTTAGTGGCTCCCAGTACTTGAAGGTATGCCAAGAACTGTGAGTGTCCCAAAGGGGAGGAACTCAGTCACCACCTAGATTAAGGCTGATTGGAAGCCAGACTCTCAGGCTGTAGCTTTTAATGTATACAAATATACAAAGTCCTGCAGGACTGTCAGCATAAGCCCTGGTGGCTCCCAGAGGCAGGTGATCTGGGAGTATCCCCTGGGGAGCAGCTGTAAAAATTGGAGTATCATACAAAGGTACAAACTCCTTTCTGGGAGATACTGGCAAACTTGAGTGAGGCAGATGGAGATGCAGAGATGGTGCCTGCTGGCCCCTGTCTTTGGAATACTTCAGTAGGCACCTATGTATATTGAATTAGATGCCTGTCTCTCAGGCTGATGCTTTAAGATAAGGAAATAAGCCTTTTTCACAGAAAGTCTGGGTGCTTTTCACTTGGCTACCTTTGTGCTGAGCTCTGGGGTGCATGAATTTGCATGTCAGCTTTTCGAGAATGGCTTTTCAATTCCTTTAGTTTTGGAAGTCTTAATGGATGCAAGCTCTGTTGGCTTCCAAAGCTAGATGTTTAGGGGGCTTATCTCTCAGGTGTAAGTCTTTTTTTTTTTTTTCCCCCTCAGGTGTGAGTCTTAAAAGATGTGCCAGATACGGGGTTCAAACTGTCTCTCCTCAGGGAGAAGCTCCTGGGTTGAGTTCCCTCCCCATTGTGGTTTGTTGTGGGGTTTATGAGATTGTCTCTTAACCTTACCTACTTTCTTTAATGTGGTTCCACTTTCATTTGTGAATGGGTTGCTCTGCCAGGTTTTAGGTTTATTTTAGAATTTGTTCCATATATATTTGTAGATTTGGTGTGTCCATAGGAGGAAGAGGTTAATTCAGGATCTTCCAATGTCACCTTGAACTGGACCCTTCCTTCAACAATACTTCTGAGTTTTCATTTGCAAGTCTTGCACTGACTTTGTTAGATTTATTCCTAAGAATTTTATTATTTTTGATGCTATTAGAAATTGAATTTTGTTTTTTCTTATTTTTTAAAGATTTTATTTTATTTTATTTTTGAGAGAGAGGGACAGTATGTGTGTGTGTGGGGGGGGTGGGCAGAGAGAGAGAGGGAGAGAGAGAATCTTAAGCAGGCTTCACACCCAGTGCAGAGCCTGACACGGGGCTTGATCTAATGACCCTGAGATCATGACCTGAGCCGAAATCAAATATCAGATGCTTAACTGACTGAGCCACCCAGGTACCCCTAAAGATTTTATTTTTTAAGTAATCTCTACACCCAATGTGGGGCTTGAACTCAAGACCCTGAGATCAAGAGTCACATGCTCTACTGACTGAGCTAGCCAGACGCCCCTAGAAATGGAATTTTTTTTTTTTAAAGATTTTATTTATTTGACAGAGACACAGCGAGAGAGGGAACACAAGCGGGGGGATGTGGGAGAGGGAGAAGCAGGCTCCCTGCAGAGCAGGGAGCTGGATGTGGGGCTCGATCCCAGGACTCCAGGATCATGACCTGAGCTGAAGGCAGACACCCAACGACTGAGACACCCAGGCGCCCCAGAAATGGAATTTTTAAAAATTTTCTTTTTGGATCGTTTATTGCTAGTGAATAACAGTACAATTGATTTTTTGTATATTGACTGCATGCTGCAGTCTTTTTGAACTTCTTCATTAGTTATAGTTTTTCAGTGGAGTTCTTCGTGTTTTTTATTTTTATTTTTTGTTTTTGTTTTTTTAAAGATTTTTTTTTTAAAGATTTTATTTATTCATCTGACAGAGAGAGACACAGTGAGAGAGGGAACACAAGCAGGGGCAGAGGGAGAGGGAGAAGCAGGCTTCCCGCAGAGCAGGGAGCCCGATGCGGGGCTCAGTCCCAGGACCCTGGGATCATGACTTGAGCTGAAGGCAGACACTTAACGACTGAGCCACCTGGCCCAGGTGCTCTGTTTTTTTAAAGATTTATGAATTTATCTTAGAGAGCGAGAAAGAACACCAGCAGGGGGAGGGGCAGAAGGAGAGAGAATCCCCAAGCTGACTCCCCGCTGAGTGTGGAGCCCAGTGCAGGGCTTGATCCCAGGACCCTGAGACCGAGACCCCAGCCAAAATCAAGAGTTGGACTTAACCAACTGAGCCACCCAGGCGCCCACTTTTAGTGTTTTTTAAACACAAGATCATGTCATCTGTATATGATAATAGTTTTACTTCTTCCTTCCCAATTTGGATGTCTTTTATTTCTTTTTGCATAACTGACCTGCCTAGAACCTCCAAGATAATGTTCATCCTGTCTTGTTCCTGTCTTAAGGAGAAAACATTCAGTCTTTTACCTTTAAGTATGATATTAACTGTGGTTTTTTTTTTTTTATGTCCTTTATCAAGCTGAGGCATCACTGTTGAAAAAGAATTCTTTTTTATGTAAATTATAATATGTAGTCAGGAGAGCCAATTATCTGGAGCGCCTGAGTGGCTCAGTCAGTTGAGTGTCCAGCTCTTGGTTTCAGCTCAGGTTATGCTCTCATGGGTCATGAGATTTGAGCCCCATGTTGGGCTCTGTGCTCAGTGGGGAGTCCACTTGAAGATTCTCTTCCTTTGCCCCTTCCCCCACTTCAACGTGTGATTGCATGTGTGCACTCTCTCTCTCTCTCAAGTAAATAAATCTTGAAAAAGAGAACCAGTATCTAAGTGAATGTTTAAGGAACTAGGATAAATTGTTGTGTTATTTCTATTGAAATGTCCCTACAGAGATGAGATCGATCCAGATACAGTTTTTTAAATAGAAAAATTGAAATTTTAGTGAATATTGGACATGTTCAGAAGTCATTTTATTTCTTTTAGATGGAAACCTTTTTCTGTTACATGACTGAGTTACAAATAGCATCTGGAGGGGTGCCTGGGTGGCTCAGTTGGTTAAGTGTCTGCCTTTGGCTCAGGTCATGATCCCAGAGTACTGGGATCGAGCCCCACATCAGTCTTCTTGCTCAGCGGGGAGCCTGCTTCTCCCTCTGCCTCTGCCTGCTGCCCCTGCTTGTACTCTCTCTCTCTCTCTCATTAGCTCTCCCTCTGTGTCAAATAAAATCTTTAAAAAAACCACAAAAAACAAACAGCATCTGGAAAACTTAACACTTTTGAGTAAATTACTTACCCTGTGTTTCAGACAAAAGAATGCCACGGAGAAAGAAAAAAGTTAAAGAAGCTTCTGAAGCTCAGAACCTGGAGAAGAAAGATGCAGAAACTGCCAGTTCTGTCAATCTGAAGAGGAAACGTAGACTTGAAGATGCATTCATTGTGATATCTGATAGTGATGGAGAGGTCAGTATTCTGAAAAGTAGAGCTCTAGGTCTCAAACTATACCTTCTCCATGACTGGTTTGTTTTGCAACTATACCTTAATGCCAACTTGCCAGAGCATGCATTTTTTTTTTAAATATCTATCTATCTATCTATCTATCTATCTATCTATCTATCTATCTATCTAT